CCAGGAGTTGGAGGTTGCTGTGAGCTGTAATGCCACGGCACTCTACCCAGGGGGACAGCTTGAGGCTCTGTCTCAAAAAAAAAATAAATAAATAAATAAATTCATGAAATAAATAAATTACTTACCTAAATTATCTGAATAGCTGATTTGTTGACATCATTTGTTTAGCACTAGCACTCAGAGGTAAGCAGACCACTCCCTGTGTTAGGGGAGGAGTTGTAACTTTAAGGGCAAGAAGGGGCTTTTGGGGGGGAGGGGCTTTCTGAGGCAATTATCTAACATGTCATGCATTCTTTCTAAAAATCGGGACTTTTTTAAAGCGCTGCGGGACGCAGGACAAATTGTTAAAAATCAGGACTGTCCCGCCAAAAGTGGGACGTCTGGTCCACCTTACCCAAGTTGAGCCTTGAACCTTACTTAGGCTGACTTCTGAACTGACCCAAGTCTTGACCTCAGCTGAGCCCCAAACCTGGGCTCTGACCTGGCTGAGGCCTGGCCGGGACACCAACACACCCCATGACTGAACACGGGTCAGCTGCATCTCTTCATTAAAGGTAGGTGTGGCGCCCTGTGCCTGCAGCCTCTCTGACACATGTCCTGGGCTGCCCACAGATACACCAACACCTCGGGCTGGGCCCAGGGTGACTGCCTACCACAGATGCCCCAACACCTGGCTCCTGGCCTATGGAGTTTGGTGTCCCAGATTAGGACAGGCAAGTAGACCTGAGAAAGGAAAACAATGTCAAGAGCGGAGAGGTAACAAAGAGTCCAAAAAAGAGCCCTGATCCAAGTGGCCGTATGACTGCCTAGGGGAACTTGGCTTTTTCCTTTGTGAGGAGGCTCTAGGCTTCTTCTCTCAGGCCCTTCTGCTCAGCACCTTGGACCCAGAGTGAAGTGAGAGTGTCTCAATTAGTGGGCTCTCTGGCTGTGTACCTTTCACCCGGTATTCCGAGTGCCCTCTGACCTTTCATTCTCTTCTGGACCCCGTGGCTGTCAGTAGTGCCAATGTCATAGAGCTGGCAGCACCTGTCAATAAATAGTAATTAGAATTAATCATGAGTCTTTCTCTGAAGTTTCCTAAAATCTCCTTTCTTATGTACATCCCACATCCTGGGAGGTACTGGGTGGGAAGAAGGATGTATCAGGTTTATAAGCCCCTCCAACTGGTCATACTCAGGCTCTGATGGGCAGGAAGGCTCTGGTTTTAGAACCTGCTTCTCTGGTTTTTAGAACACCCTGCAGTGGTGGACAGCTGATTTCTGGCACAGCACTCAGTTTTCTTTTGGGAGTTCCCTAATCAGTGTGAAAGGATTGAACTGGGCTGACCCCAAGCCCTGGTCACAGAGAGGGAGCATTCTAGTCCCCCATCCCCTACTTGGGCTGCAGTGACTGGTTCAGGAACACATGAAACTCATGGCCATCTGAGAAGATGCAGCCCTGGGTCATGTTCTGGGATCACAGTGCTGGGGTGGCTGAGTGGGGAGGATCTGGGACTGGAGTTATGGGGCTATCTTTTCACCACAAGGCCTTAGACAAAGTCAGTACTGTAATGAACCGACTTCTAAGAGAGAATTATAATTGTGCTTCTGGATCCACTCATACCTGAGCTTCCCACAGGTTCCAATGATGCAAGCTTTTAACTTGTTTTTTTATTAAGCCAGTTTGAGTTGGGGCTGTAATCACATGCCACTGAACAGCCTTACATTCAAATCTAGTTTTTGCTATAACTGTAGAAATATTCCTTAGATGCTAAACCAAATTTCAGCTTCTTTATCTACAGAATGGATTAGATGAGATAGTATGTGAAAAGCTCTTAGTATAAAGTGCAAAGTGATCATAGAAACTGATGCAATATACAACTTGAACTTTACCTTAGAAATGAAAACAGGGTGGGTGTGGTGGCTCGCACCTGTAATCCTAGCATTTTGGGAGGACAAGGCAGGTGGATAGCCTGAGCTCAGGAATGAAAGACCAGCCTGAGCAAAAGCAAACCCTGTCTCTACTAAAAATGGACAAACTAGCTGGGCATTGTGGCAGGCACCTGTAGTCCTAGCTACTTAGGAAGCTGAGACCAGGGGATCGCTTGGGTTTAAGAGTTGGAGGTTGGGCAGCACCTGTGGCTCCGTGGGTAGGGTGTCAGCCCCATATAATGAGGGTGGCAAGTTCAAACCTGGCCCCAGCCAAATTGCAACAAAAAAATAGTCAGGGGGTGGCGCCTGTGGCTCAAGGAGCAGGGTCCTTCCCCCACATGCCAGAGGTGGTGGGTTCAAACCCAGCCCTGACCAAAAAAAAATAGCCAGGCATTTGTGGTGGGCGCCTGTAGTCCCAGCTACTTGGGAGGCAAGAGAATCACCTAAGCCCAGAGAATTGGAGGTTGCTGTGAGCTGTGTGATGCCCTGGCATTCTACCGAGGGTGATAAAGTGAGACTCTGTCTCTACAAAAAAAAAAAAGTTGGAGGTTGCTGTGAGATAGGATGCCATGGCATTCTACCCAGGGCACGGGAGTGAGAGACTGTCAAAAAAAGAAATGAAAACAATGTAACCTAAACATTTGTACCCTTATATTAATCTGAGATAAAAGAAAATAAATTTACTCAATACAGTCTGGCTCCTATAGTGCCCTGTTAGGGAAAAAGACTTGATCTCAGGAGGCAGAAGGGATGTGTGAGAGAGTCAGGAGACAAAGGCTATGGGGCCTATGTATTCTGAATTGAACAGACCTGGCTTCGAAGCAAGCTCTGCCTCCCCCCTCCCCCCTTGACATAGAGTCTCATTCTGTTGCCGTAGGCTAGAGTGCATAGCATCTGTGGATCACAGCAACCTCTAACTCCTAGGCTCAAGTGTTACTCTTGTCTCAGCCTCCCAAGTAGCTGGGACTACAGACATGTGCCACCCACCCAGCTAGTTTTTCTATTTTTAGTAGAGATGGAGTCTTGCTCTTGCTCAGGCTAGTCTCCAACTCCTGAGCTCAAGCAATCCATCTGCCTTGGCCTCTCAGAGTGCTAGGATTACAGGCCTAAGCTGCCTTACCCTGCCTCTCTGCCCTTTTTTGCTGTGCAATCTGAAGCCCATTAGTGTGGAAGAGAATAATTCCCTCAAAGATGACAACATCCTGATCCCCAGAAACTGTGAATATGTTACCTCATGGCAAAAAGGACTTTGGAGATGGGATAAGAACCTTAAGATAGGAGATCATCCTGGATCACCTGGGGGCCCCAGTGTGAGCACAGGGGCCTCGTAAAAGGAGGCAGGAGGGCCAGAGGCAGAAGGAGACTGGAAGATGCTGGCTCTGAGAGGGGAGGAAGGGGCTTTAAGCTAAGGGGTGTGGGTGGCCTCTAGATGCTGGAAAAGGCAAGAGATTTTCTCTGGAGCCTCTGGGAAGGACCAGCCCTGCACATCTTCATTTTAGGACTTCTGACTCCAAAACTGTGAGATAATGAGTTTATGCTATTTGAAGTTGCTAAGTTTGTGGTAATTTGGTAGAGCAGCAATTAGAATTAAATACACCTCAATGAATTTCAGATTCTTCCTCTGGAAATCCCTCCCTCTCTTTCTTCTTTCCTTCTTTCCAGGCCTTCCGTGTGCAAATCTAGGTCTGGACATTCAGCAGTGAACTAAACAAGGAAATCTCTGTCCTCAGGAACACAGAGGGGCCATAGACATAAATAATGTCTGGTAACAGTAATTTCTGTGAAGGCAAATAAAGTATTCCAAGGCTTAGAGAGCAGTCAGGATGGTGTAGGAAAGTGTATTGGATAGGGGATCAAGAAAGCATCTTTCAGGCACCGCCTGTGGCTCAGTGAGTAGGATGCCGGCCCCATATACCGAGGGTGGTGGGTTCAAACCTAGCCCCGGCCCAACTGCAACAAAAAATAGCCGGGCGTTGTGGCGGGCACCTGTAGTCCCAGCTACTTAGAAGGTTGAGGCAGGACAATCGCCTAAGCCCAGGAGTTGGAGATTGCTGTGAGCTATGACTCTACAGCACTCAACTAAGGGCAATAAAGTGAAACTCTTTTTTCTAAAAAAAAAAAAAAAAAGAAAGCATCTTTCAGGAAGTGATATCCAAGCAGAGACCAGATGGAGTGTGGAAGCAAGTGGTCCAGGTGGGTCTGTAGAAAGTGTTACAGGTAGCAGGAATGGCATATACAAAGGCCACATGCTGAGGATAAGCTGGACTGGATGGAGGCTGGTGTGCCTGGGCAGTGAGTGAGGGACAGAGGCACAAACAGCTCAAGCTTTCTGGGGTATATATACATACATATACATAGAGACAATCTCACTGTGTTGCCCTTGGTAGAGTGCCATGGTGTCACACAGCTCACAGCAACTTCAAACTCTTGGGCATAAGTGATTCTCTTACCTCAGCCTCCGAAGTAGGTGGGACCACAGGCGCACACCACAATGCCCAGCTTTTTTTGTTGTTGTTGAAACAGTCTCATCATGTTGCCCTCGGTAGAGTGTCATGGCATCACAGCTCACAGCAACCTCAAACTCTTGGGCTTAAGCGATTCTCTTGCCTTAGCTGCCTGTGACTACAGGTACCTGCCACAACGCCTGGCTATTTTTTTTTTTTTTGTAGAGACAGAGTCTCACTTTATCGCCCTCAGTAGAGTGCTGTGGTGTCACACAACTCACAGCAACCTTCAACTCCTGGGCTTAGGCGAGTCTCATGCCTCAGCCTCTCCAGTAGCTGGGACTACAAGCGCCTGCCACAACGCCCAGCCTATGCCCAGCTATTTTTGTGGTAGTTGCTGTTTAGCAGGCCTGGGCTGGGTTCAAACCCACCAGCCTCAGTGTATGTGGCTGATGCTGTAATCACTGTGCTACGGTGCCAAACCAGCCCGGCTATTTTTTTGTTGTAGTTGTCATTGTTGTTCAGCAGGCCCAGGCTAGGCTCAAACCCACCAGCCCCGGTGCATGTGGCCGGAGCCTTAACCAGTGAGCTATGGGCGCCAAGCCAGCTTTCTGGGGTATTGACTAGCTCACAGCCCTGAGGGTGACAGGATGGCCCTGAAAGTCCAGGCCCAGATCTTCCTAGCTCAGCCCCCAGCATTGTGTTTCCAGAAAGAGCTCCAGGGATGCATCAGCTTGGCCAGCTGTGTCCCTACTACTGAGGCTGGGGGCATGGAATGGGGCTGATGGGTGAGGGTACTGGCCACTCTCCAGGCTGGGGAAGGGGAGGAAGTTGTGATATGTCATGTGTGGTGAATGTGAGGAAGGCTTCCATGGAGACTAGAGGTTCCAGAGGAGCCTTGAGGCTGGGGAGGGCCTGAAGCTTCATCTTGAATGTGCTTGGCTGGGGCATTCCCATGGGGACACCTGAGGCTGGACACCTCTTGGGGGTGTCCAAGGTGTGAATTTGAGAGCCTTTGGCCACCAGATGGTAACTGAAGGTGTGGGCTAGTGAATGCATTGAGGCATGGAGATGTCTCTGGAAAGAGCCAGGAGGGTACCTTCCACTAGAGAAGCCACTGAGAGAGAGGAACCTTTCAAGGGCAGCTCAGGGGTCTGGGAACATGCTTTTGCCAGAGAGGGTTGCAGAGTTCAGTGCTGAGCTCAGGCAGGGCTAGGCCAGGATCACCACAAATGGGGACTTTTGGCCCTGAGGCCTGGGACCGGAGGTGGTATAGGGAAGCTAAGCAGGGCAGGGGTGGTGAGCTTTGGCTAGGAAGGTGGCTGCACCTTGGGGCAGAGGGCCAGCTTGTGTATCCCTTGCCCAGTCACTCTTGGCCACTGTCTGCCCCAGGAGGTAGATGGAGACTTCTGGTCTCCAGGACAGTATAGCACTGAAAGCTGACTGCAGTTGGCCTGCTGTAGGCTCCAGGAGGGGAAGGACCTTGGCCATACATAGCCCCCAGCAAGTGCCAGCTCTTCCTAACACAGGTGCTTTTGCTGTGTGCAGATGCTTGGCATGTCACAGTCCCAACCACTGACACCAATGAAGTGGGTGCTCTTTGCTGACATTGGCTCCCTACTGCTGTGTAACAAAGCACTCCAAAACTCAATAGGTTACAACAGTCATTTATTTAGCTCACAAAATCTGCAAAGCAGGAACTGCCAGGTGGCACATGCACCTGCACTGGGGCCTCCTCAGCACACAAGTCCCAAGTGAGAGCTAGGAGAAGCCACTGGAGGTCAAGGAGAAAGGATGCAGTTTCTGCCTCTGGATCATGGAAGAGTGGGAATGGAAATATTGTAGCTATTTCTGGAAAAAGGTGATCTACCGAGATTCGTTGGACCTTTGTTTCACTCACTGCCTACTCTTTGCTGCCTTTGCCCAGCGCTAGGAAACGGGTACAGGGGTGGTCCCTGCCATTGTGGAGCTTGTGGAAATTTCCCCCAGAAAAGGGGCTGTCATGAGCCCATTTAACAGAGGGGCAGACTGAAGCCAACAGTGTGAAGTCATTTGCCAGGAACTGTTCTGAGATGGGAATTCCAAACTGGCTCTTCCTGTTCCCCACAGAATTCTCCGTCCAGGAAGTGATTCAGTGTGTGGTGGTGTACCCAGGGTGCCTGCTGAGTGCTCAATGGCTAACTCCCACAGGTGCATGTGGTTTTGAATGGACCTTGTTGGTGGGTAGCGTGGGGTGTGTGTTCTGAGCATGGCCCAAATCCCTGTTTGGCTCCTTACTGAGGTGTGACCCTCCACCCATCTGGGTCTCAGTTTCTCCATCTGCCAGGTATCAGCAACAATTTACTTTCCCCATGGAGCAGTGGAGAAAATCATGTAAGATACTATAGTTGTTTGAAGGTGTGTGAGCTGTTATTATCATCAGTATTGCTGTCATCTGCCCAGCTGACCTCTTTGACAGCTGGGGAAACCGATGCCCAGGGTCCTGCATTTCAGAGAGGCCGGCATTATGGAGGAACCGGCAGTGCCACTTAGCTGTGGGACCCACAGGGCAAATGGGTTGGGAGGTTAGAGCACACATGGGTTTGCTTTGGCAGCAGGTTTTATTCTGCTGGCCTGGGGTCCTGCGTGAATGGGGGGGTGGGGACACAGGGAAGAAGGCAGTTGGGGGGGGGGAGGAGTCCGTGTCCTGGGAGTCTGACCTCCCCAGGACTGACCAGTTGTGGATAAGGTGCTGCACCCCCTGCACATAGGGACACCCAAACCTGGGTCCCAAATGTGTTCTACCAGGAGGGGCTGAGTGAGGCCTACACAGGGCTCAGCCCACTGGCTTGACCTTGGCAATGAACAGGGTAGCTGCCTTCTCCAGGAACTCCTCACGGGTCATGGGGCAGCTGGGCCGCCGCCCTGACATGGCTCGATCCATGGCCAGTGCCAGGCTGTCTGGCCCCAGGCGCGAGCCAGCCTCCAGGTAGCAGGCAGGTGCTGTGGAATTGTCACTGGCCTGCAGGGCACCCTCCAGGGTGTCCAGCACAGCCTGGCCCACACGGCGGTCAGCCACAGCCATGGCTGGGCCTTCCAGCAGCTGGAAGAGGGTACTGGCCCGTGCCACAAACTCCAGCAGCACGAAGCAGGTGAGCATGCCGGTGCGGAAGACATCCAGTGGCACTGCCTCATGGTCGCGGCACTGGATCTTGCGCAGCAAGGGCGCCACAACCGCCTCAGGGGCCTCACCATCCCTGCAGATGCGCTTGAGCAGCTCGCTGTAGGTGCGTCCATCCAGCCCAGGCTTCTTCTTGCGCCCACTGGCACTCAGGCACTCATAGGCCATGCTGACATTGTTGTTGAAGGCCGTCCTGCAGAGGAGGGCGTGTTGGGGAGCCGCAGGACCAGTGCCAACCCCCTTTCCCCTCCCACCCATCTCCGTGCTCCAGCCTCCGGGCCTTTGCATAGCCTCCCAGCCCTTGGCCTGCTGTCTTCCCCAGATACCTTCTCTCCTTTGCCTTTTTGTCTCACTGTCACCCAGGCTGAAGTATAGTGGCATTATCACAGCTCATTGCAGCCTCAAACTCCTGGGCTTAAGTGATCCTCCTGCCTCAGCCTCCCAAGTAGCTGGGACTACAGATGCCACCATGCCCGGTTAATATTTCTGGTTTTTTTTTTTTTTTTGTAGAGACAGGGTCTCACTCTTGCTCAGGCTGGTCTCAAACTCCTGGGCTCAAGTGATCCTCCTGTTTTGGCCTCTCAAAGTGCTTTGGACTACAGGTGTGAACCACTGCACCTGGCATAGCTGTTTCTTTTGAGCAGTCCTCAACATCTAACCTTCTGTCCCCATCCTTATTAGTGTAGTCAACCCTACAAAGGCAGGGCACTCATCTGTCAGTCACTCTTTTTTTTTTGAGACAGAGCCTCAAGCTGTTGCCTTGGGTAGAGTACCGTGGCATCATAGCTCACAGCAACCTCCAACTCCTAGGCTCAAGCGATTCTCCTGCCTCAGCCTCCCAAGTAGCTGGGACTACAGGCACCCACCACAACGCCCGGCTTTTTGGTTGCAGCCATCATTGTTGTTTGGCAGGCCCAGGCTGGATTCAAACCCGCCAGTTCAGGTGTATGTGGCTGGCGCCTTAGTGGCTTGAGCCACAGGCGCCAAGCCTGTCAGTCACTCTTATAGTCCTCCTACCTAGGATGCTGTTGGGCACACAGCAGGGGCCCAATCAATGTCTGCTGAATCCACCAACAGGAGTCTGTTTGGGGCACCTGCCCCCAGGATCCTCTGGCTGCCCTACCTGCAGCAGCAATGATACCTGCACTCACAGAATGGCTGCTCCTGGTCAAATGCCACGTTTAGGCATTTATCCCAGGTCAACACACAGGCAAGAATCCAAGGCTCAGACTCAGCCCTCTGCCTGCTTTGTAAACATAGTTTTATTGGAATGCAGCCACACTAGCCCACTGATATGACACCTGTGGCTACTTCACACTATGACAGCAGAGCTGCATGGTCATGAGGGAGACTGCCGGCAGAGCTAAAAATGTTTACTAGCTGGCCCTTTACTGGAAAAGCCTATTGGTCCTGCTGACAGCTCCAAGGGCAGCATGATCCCTTGTCCCAACAGGAACCTGAGGCTCTGAGGCTCTACCATGGGCCACACCTGTGCTGTGTCCCATGGAGGGCATGAGGGTGGTAGGGGAGTACAGTGGTTAGTGTGCTGGCTGCTGCATGACCCTGGGTGAGCTACTTCACCCCTGGGCCTCACTCCCTTCATTGCATTAACTGCACAGTACCCTACTGTAATTTCCACTATGACATATAGGGAAACTGAGGCTCAGGGCAAGCTAGTGGTCTGGCCAAGGGTCCCAAAGAAGAAGTGGCTAACCTCAGGCTGACAGTCATCCTTTCTGGGTGCTCAGCTCCAGAGGATAGGTTCACAATGAGGTGCCATTCCTCTTCAGGCCGGCCTGATGTAGGTGCTAGGTAGACATTCCCAGCTGGGTAAGATGGGGGCAGTGGCCTGGGTGTTAAGACTGGCCTGTTGTGCTAGGTGCTCATAGAGGGAGGTGCTTTCCCCATCATGGCTGTTACCCACAGCAGCCCCTGGATGCCTCTCCACAACCCCCGCAGGAGCTGGAACTGTTAACCCATCCCATCAGGAAGAGGATGGTTTGGGATGTCTGCTGTAAATCAGTTATTTATTGTTGTGTAACAGATTAGACACCAAACCTAGTGGCCTAAAATCCACAACAAACATGTCACACAGCTACTGGGAAGCACTGGCTCAGGATCTGTGTCATAAATTGCAGTTATCAACTGTGGCCCTGAAGTCTGATTTCTGGGGTGGCACACTCAGATGCAGGATATGCTGGGGCCACTCTCAGCAGAAGGTTCAGTTCTCACCCATGGTGTCTCCTCCAGCCAAGTGAGCTTCCTCACAACATGGTGGCTGGCTGGCCCTGAGCAAGGCTGATGTCATGATGTCTGTCCTGACCTGTCTTCATAAGTTGCAATCTGTTGCTTCTGTGATGTCCTGCTGGCTGCACAGGTGGCTCTCTTCAATATGGAGGGGAGTACACAGGGGCCTGAACTCCAGAAGCTAAGGTTCCTGGGGCTATCTTGAAGGCTGGTAGCCACAGCCCTGCCCAGCAAAGTCTTTCCACAAACTTCTCCACCCCTTGAAAGTTGGCTAAACCATGGGACTTGCTTTTGCCACTGAAACATGAGGGTAAGCAAAGTGTGGTCCACTTTCTTCTTTTTTTTTGTTGTTGCTGAGACTTACTCTGTTGTCCAGGCTAGAGTGCTGTGGTGTCATCATAGCTGATAGCAACCTCAAACTCCTGGGCTCAAGCAATCCTCTTGCCTCAACCTCCTAAGTAGCTAGGACCATGGGTGCCTGCCACCACATTTAGCTAGTTTTTCTATTTTTTAAAATTATTTATTTTTAGATAGAGTTCCTAATTATGTCGCCCATGAGTACCATGGTATCACAGCTCACAGCAACCTCAAACTCTTGGGCTTATGTGATTCTCTTGCCTCAGCCTCCCAAGTAGCTGGGACTACAGATGCCTGGCTATTTTTTATTGCAGTTGTCACTGTTGCTGGGCTGGTCCTGGGTTTGAACCCGCCAGCTGCAGTGTATGTGGCTGGTGCCCTAACCACTGTGCTACGGGTGCTGAACCAGTTTTTCTATTTTTAGTAGAGATAGGGTCTTGCTCTTGCTCAAGCTGGTCCCAAACTCTGGAGCTCAGGCAATCTTCCCCCTTTGGCCTCCCAGCATGCTAGGATTACAGGTGTGAGCCACCACACCTGGCTATGTGGTCCACTTTCTTTCTTTTTTTTTTTTTTTGTAGAGACAGAGTTTTACTTTACCCCCCTCAGTAGAGTACCATGGTGTTACACAGCTCACAGCAACCTCCAACTCCTGGGCTTAGGCAATTCTCTTGCCTCAGCCTCCTGAGTAGCTGGGACTACAGGAGCCTGCCACAGCGCCCATCTATTTTTTTGTTGTTGTTGCAGTTTGGGTGGGGCCGGGTTTGAACCCTCCACCCTCGGTATATGAGGCTGGCGCCCTACCCACTGAGCCACAGGTGCCGCCCCATGTGGTCCACTTTCAATGGAAATTTCAAGAACCATTGCATTACTCCTCATTGCCATGACTGTGTAAGCTCCAGTTGGGATTGCACAACCCATTGACCTTGTGGTGTGAGCAAGAGAACCCTGGCTGTGATAAAGCTGCCAAGGCTCCAGTATTGTTTGTTGCTGTCATGTGACACAGCTCCTCCTCACAGATATGGACACATGTGTGGTCCAAGAGTAACTCACCTCTGCACCTGGGCCCCTCTGCCAAGACCTGGCCACTCACTAGCTCTTTAGCACCTGTGTGCAAAGCCCACAAACCTGCCTATGAGCCTGGCTTTCTGCACCTAGGGAGCGAGGGCCCCAGTTTCTGCACCTGGAAGATGGAAGATCAGAGTTTGTACTAGGTGGTTCCCAAAAGTACCTGCGTTCACTGTGACTGTCACCTGTAGTCAGCCACACTATCCAAATATTGTTTGTCATATTTGCTCCTGGCCTCATGGGGCAGGAAGATGGACACACAAAGGGATCAGCCAGTAAGGTTAGAGTCACAGGGGTTGTAGGAGACATGACTTTTAAGCTGTTCAGATGTGTGCCTCCTGCAGGCTCCTCAGGTGGTGTCCAGGTGGATCCTCAGGTGTAGGTGGCGAACTCTGTACTCAGTCAGGCAAGCCTGAGCCTGGATCTCAGGTCTGCCATATGGGCTCTGGGCCTGGGTTTCTGTCTATACTCAGGAGGGTTTTATCTGTGTCAGTGCCTACACAGAGCAGTTTGTAAAACATGTGAGGATTTAATAAAAAATTGTATTTATGGAAAGATTCCAGAAAGAGACATGAAAGACTTACTTTTAACCTTTGACTAGTAGTTCTCAAGGGGGACAACCTGGGTGACATCTGGGAACATCTGTGGTTCTCATGTCTGGGTTGGGGGGTGCCTAATAGCTGAGGCTGAGAATCCCTGGCGTAGGCCAGCTGGTGCTCTGTGCACGGGATTGGGTGGCTGCTGCTGCTGCTGTTAGTAACATGGTTGTTATAAGGAGGCCTCAGGGGCTGCCCTTTCTGGGCCTGACTCTAGCATACCACTTAAGGTCTATGTTTGTGCTCTGTAGGGTGTTGGAGGCTTTCTTTTTTTTTTTTTTTTAAGACAGAGCCTCAAGCTGTCCCCCTGGGTAGAGTGCCGTGGCATTACAGCTCACAGCAACCTCAACTCCTGGGCTCAAGCGAGTCTCCTGCCTCAGCCTCCCAAGTAGCTGGGACTACAGGTGCCCGCCCAACGCCTGGCCATTTTTTTTTTGATTGCAGCCATCATTGTTGTTTGGCGGGTCCGGGCTGGGGATTCGAACCCGCCACCTTAGGTGTATGTGGCTGGCGCCTTAGCCTGTTGAGCTATAGGCGCCGAGCCGAGGCTTTCTATTTTGTAAGAGACACTGGCAAGGAGGGTCTGGGGGTACCTTCTCCCCAAATCTAATGATTGAGAGCAGCTCCAGGATGGCCTAGCTAAGCCCTAAGTACTGGCATGCACATGCTAGGCAGAGTGGGGATGAAGCTGCCCAGTTCTTGGCCTCTGCTGCCGACCTGACAGGTGATGTTCAGGAGCTCCTGAATGTCTGCAAAGGGAAGTGGTGGCCTGGGCCATCCACTGGGAGGACAAGATCAGGCCTGGCTCCTGTGAACACAAAATCAGATGCCACTGAGGCTTGGTGAGCTTGTGTTTTGAGAACAGGTGAGCCTGTTCAGCACTGGCTTCATCTCTGGGGTGACCCATGGGCCCAGGGACCTGGAAACATCTGTTGTACTGCTGTTTGCCTTGCTACTCCTCCTATATCCCTGGATATTGTGTACCTTCTCTAGCGAACAGCCCAATACTCTGTCCTCAGGTGACAAGTACACCCAAATTCATGCCCACCCAGACCCTTCAGTGGGACTTTATTTGGAAATAAGGCCTTGGCAGATGTCATGACTGCCAAGACTGCTGGCAACCACCAGGAACTGGAAGAGGCAGGAAGAACCCTCTCCTGGGGCCTCGGGAGAGAATATGGCCCTCCTGATACCTTGACTTCAGACTTCTGGTCTCCAGAACTGTAAGAATAAACTTCTGTTGTTTTAAGCCACTAAGTTTGTCAATTTGTTACAGCAGACCTTGGAAATTAATATAAACATCTTCATCTATGATGGTTTTGGGTGAGTGGCTTATGTGTGGTTGACCTGAACAACTATACATGGTGGACCTGCCACTGGCCATTTTAACTTTTTGAAAGATGCTCTTCTTGATGTCCCTGGATGCTGTTTTCTGCTGGTTCATTCCTCTGTTTCCGGTCTTGCCTTCCATCCTTTTTTGTAAGCCCTTCAGAGCATGGTTCTGAACTTGCTCTTCCCTCCTAAAGCCTATATGACACCTCCCAGTTTACAATCTCCTGTGCAGTCCCTTGTCTCAGTTTTTGACCCTTCTGTTTACCTTTTCTGCTGTGAGGCTCCTTTTAGCCCCCTGACTTAACCATTCCTAAACCATTCTGGCACCTTCTTCAAGCCAATGGCCTCTCATCTTCATTAATAGCTACAGTGACCCTCTGTGTCTGTCTTTGTACACTCCTCTACCACTCCAGGCCAGCTCTTCAAAGCTCCTGGGCCTCCTCACCAGCCAGCTTCCTCCTCTGCCCAGGACCCCAACTTGGGGTGGCTCTTTGTCCCTGCCACCCTAGGGGTGGTGTTCTGCTCTGATGCCCTGTCCTCCCCACCCTTTCTCCCTCTGTTCTAGCTTGTCTGGGAGTCTTTGGTGAGGGCTGCCTTGGTGTTTACAGTCCTTTGGACAGCCTCAGTAGAGATCAGGCTAAAAGGGGACCTTTGCTTGTCATTCTTCCCCACCCTGCTCCTCCCACTTTCTTCCTGGGTGCACCCCCTTATAAAAATCATCCTCAAGCAAATGCTTGCCTCACTCAACCTTGGTGCCAAGGACACCAGCCCACATCCAGTCAGTCACCACCCAGGTTTGGGGCTGCAGGTCAAACAGCTTCTGCCCATCCACCTTGACGCCGATGTGCATTCCACACGTGCTTCTAGCATCTTCCACGCGCTCACAGCCTTCTTGCCCAGGTACACAGGTGGCAGGCACATCCCTTAACCCGCACGTTTCAGCCTGCCTCCCGGCTTCCACTCCCCTTATCTCCCTCTGGGCGGGATACCCTCTGGGCCTCTTGCCCCCAACCCCTAAACCCCTTTCGCGCACCTTGCAGGCCTCTTCCCCGCTGCCCTCCTGCTTGCGGGGAGCCTGCCAGCCCTGGGAACATCCGCACCGGGCCCAAAGAGCGGGGCCGAGGGGCCAGGAGGGGCCCGGCTCACAGGGCTTGCTCTCCAACTTCAGATCAGCCCTTCCCCGCCTGCACCCGGGAAACACAAAACCTGGGAAAGGCATCACTAAAGGCCTAGCTGGAGGGAACCACCCACGCCCGACGTGGCACCTTAAACTAGTTCTGGACACCGAGCCCCTGATACCAGGAACTACAACTCCTAGCAGTCCCCGCGCCCCACAAGCAGGCGCCGTGGGGAGCAGCTGCACTAGGCACGACGGGACTTGAAGTCCACCACCCCCGCCCGGCTCCCGCCCGGGCCCGGCTCCCGCCCCCACCCACAACCGGCAGCCAGACGCGCACCTCTGGGAGTGGTGGGCCAGGCGGAGATGCCAAAGCGCGCGGCCTAGGCGCTGCTGCTGCAGCAGTAGCTGGCCCGGGGGCTCCCCCGCACCGCCATTCGCGGGCGAGCGCAGGCCCATGTTCTCGAAGTAGTGCGCCAGGAAGGCGATCGGCTCTTCGGGCCGCGCCTCCAGCACCTTTAGCAGGGCTGCGCGCAGCATCTCCGTCACGCCGACCTGCCGCAAGAAGTCCTCTTCGCTCTCAGCCGCCGCCGCAGCCGCCCGAGACACTGATGCCCGGCTGTTGTCCGTGAAACTGGCCGCTGGGGCAGCCGCGGGCCGCCGCTTCTCCATTGCCGCCATCTTCGCTGAGGGCAGCTGGACCGGAAGTACCGCCATATTTCACATAACGTACAAGCCCTGGGAGGCCATTTTTGTTAAGGGCAGAGGCAACCAAGATTCCTCTTAGAGACTTTGGGAAATGACAGGAGCTCATTACCCTTTTCCCCAGATTCCTATTGGCATTTTGTCTTCTTAATCTTTTTTTTTTTTTTTGAGACAGAGCCTCAAGCTTTCCCCTGGGTAGAGTGCCATGGCATTACAGCTCACAGCAACCTCCAACTTCTGGGCTCAAGCGAGTCTCTTGCCTCTGCCTCCCAAGTAGCTGGGACCACAGGCGCCCGCCACAACGCCCGGCTATTTTTTGGTTGCAGCCATCATTGTTGTTTGGCGGGTCCGGGCTGGGGATTCGAACCCACCACCTTGGGTGTACGTGGCTGGCGCCTTAGCCGGTTGAGCTATAGGCGCCGAGCCTGTCTTCTTAATCTTTACTGGTTGTCACTCCCGGCTTCGGCCCGGAACGTGAATTTTGCCAGATTTCAAGATGGCTACCTAGGAAGGTCGGTTTCTGGCATGAAGCCGGGTCATTTGCCAGGTCGGTAGTGGGCGAGTCTTTTATTTGCATGGTCTCTTAGCAACCACTCTTTCTGGTTACCAGAGAAGCCCGACTGAGCATGCGCGAGTATCGACCCTCCCTGATTTCCAGGACAAAGCACCGTCTGAGTTCCCAGTTGTTCACCTCTGAGCCTTTAAGTCGGTTCGAATTTAGCCTAACTAGTTCTGCGTCTATGTAGTTTACCTCCGAGGGATCCCTACTCCCCAACTCCCTCCAGTTGTGTCGTGGTGTTCTGCGCTGGGACCCCGTAGCCTGCAGGTCCGTCCCAGGCTGTTACCCTTCCCGACCGCCAGAGGGCTCTTTCTGACATCACATCCTCTACAGTTCTAAAGCCTACCGTAGCTTCCCAGTGTACCCAGGCCGAAGTGTACCCAGGCCGAAGTCTCTATTCTACCCTCCAGGCATCTGCAGCTTTTTTTTTTTTTATAGAGACGGAGTCTCACTTTGTTGCCCTCGGTAGAGTGCTGCAGCGTCACAGCTCACAGCACCTCCAGCTCTTGGGCTTAGGCGATTTTCTTGCCTCAGCCTCCCGAGTAGCTGGGACTACCGGCGCTCGCCACAAAGCCTGGCTATTTTTTGTTGCAGTTTGGCCCCGGCCGGGTTCTAACCTGCCACTCTCGGTATATGGGACCGGCGCCCTACTCACTGAGCCACAGGCGCCGCCCAGTATCTACAGCTTTTCATCAGCTGACCTCATTTCAGCTGTTCTTCGCCCCCTCTCCACCCTCTTAGCCCCGGTCACCCCAGAAGACCTGCAGTTTCCCTTGCTCAGCCGCCTTATGGCTTTGCCCTGGCTATCCTCCCACCAAAGACTACTCCCACCTCCTTGGCGGACTCTTAGTTATTTGTTAAGCTACCGACTCGGAGAAATGCACGAAGCCCTGATGTTTTCCCATCTCAGGCTGAGCTCGCTCCTGCCTAGTCAGAAGGGACTGGGTCCCGGGGTGGAGGTGTGGTGTACGTCCCTGTCTCTCCAGGGAGTCGCCTTGTGCAGGCGGCAATGAGAGCTGTGCAGAAAGTTCCACTATTTCTGGACCATGACTGGAATCATCAAAGGTCAGATCAAATGCCGTTTATTCTCCATCCATGGACAGTTGGTAGGGTGAGTTCCCCAGGGGCTCTACGGTAGGCACACAGCCATCTGGGGAGCCTGGAAGTGCTGGCCAACAGGGCAGGGGGCCCATGGTCAGCCCTCATGCTGTCCAGATCCCTCAAACATCAGCGACTCAAGATGGGCTGCTTTGTTCAGTGGGTCTCCCTTAATCTGGCCCAGGCTGACTCCGGGAGGGGGCGTGGCAGAGAAGCTGGCAACTGAGCGTGGTCCTTAGCCAGGGCTTGGGCAGCGGCAGCGTTTCCGCAGGCGATAGGTGAGGAAGGCCAAGAGCAGCAGCGCCAGCAACAGGCTGCCAGTCCACAAGGCTGCGGACGGCTGGCCAGGCCCCGGGCTGGGTGCTGGGAGGCGCAGGAGAGAGCAGCGGTTAGAGCCCAGTAGAGTTTACCAAGTATTTCTAATTTACCGTGTTCCTTGAAATTTTACAAAGGTCTTTACAACGGAGCTTTTGAAATTTACATAGGACTTAATAGTTCAGAAGTAGGACAGTCCAGCTAGGTGACTACTCGCTACCACCTGCCTTTGAACAGAAAGTACTGTCTGTGTGCAATTACTTCACTTTGAAGACTTAGTTTGGAAAAAAACCCTAATGTAAATATGTCCTTCACACTTTTCTATATAGGTTACATATTGAAATGATATTGCTTGGAATATATGTGACTAGATAAAATATATTATCACAGTTATTTTACATTTGAAATTACTCATGTGGCTGTGTTCTATTTTGACTTCTATTCCACAGGCTGTTCTAGTCTATAAAGCTTAAAATTTACAAAGTGTTGGCTGGGTGCCCATAGCATAGTGGTTACAGAGCCACATACATGGAGGCTGGTGGGTTCCAGTCTCACCTGGGCCAGCTAAACAACAAATGACAACTGCTGGAACGAAAAATAGCCAAGTGTTGTGGCAGGTGCCTGCAGTCCCAACTACTTGGGAGGCTGAGGCAAGAAAATCGCCCAAGCCCAAGAACTAGAGGTTGCTGTGAGCTGTGATGCCATGGCACTCTACTGAGGGCGACATAGTGAGACTGTCTCAAAAAAAAATTTTGTTTTACAAAGTGCTTTGAAATCTCCATAGTCCCTGAAATTGACCCATAGTCTGGGAAGCCCACTGAACAAATGCCAAAACTGACACTGAGCTGTTTTCTTAAAGTTTTGATCCAAGGAATCCCTCCCTCTGAGCCCTTCCCAGGCAGCAAAACTCACAGCTTTTGGGGGCCATTCCTCCCTCTGTAGGCACAGCCTGGTTGATTTCAGAGCAGCAAGTCCACATGGAGCCCTGCTTGTGGGGGGCATCAGGGGAGGTCATGTGAGGGGGCTCTGGTGAGGTTATGTTGGGAGGGTCCAATGAGATTGTGTCGGGTGGCTCCAGAAAGGTCATATCAGGGGGATCCGGTGAGGTTACGTTGGGGGCCTCCAGAGTGGTCATGTTGAATGGGTCCGGAGAGGTCAGGCTGTGCAGAACTAAAAACAGTGCAGCTGTTTTTTTTCTTTTTTTCCCCTGATGCCTGGGGCCTGCCTCTTCTGTCTCAGTCTCCCCATCTGAAACATGGGATTGGACAAGAACCTCTCCAAGCCCCTTTCCTGGACCACTGGGGTGAATCAAAGCACATCACAGGAGATAGGAGGCCTGGTGCCACAATTACTGGCAGCAGCATTTTGAGCAGGCTTGTTAACGTCCATGGGCCTCAGTTTCCTCAACTATGAAAGTCCCCTTTCTTGTTTCTTGTGCTTCTGTGGAGAGCCAACCCTGGCACGCATGTGCCTAGAATGTGGGACCAGTAAGCTCCCGCTTTTGTTATTGTGGGATGTGGAAGGCAGAGATCCTGGAGAAGGTGGCTCCCTGACATGGACTGAAGTGGTGCTTGGAGGTTTTCTGCTGCATCGAAGGGGATTTGCACATTCTGTTGTGAAATATCCCTCAGATCTAACTGCTTCTCTAAACCTAGCCCTTCACCGTGACTCCCTGGTCTTCTAGCTTCTGCTCTATTCTCTCAGGAACTCCTTGTTGGAGAACCCATGACAGCAAGCATACTCATAGGAGTATAGGCGTGCCCAATCAGTGAATGAATCCTACTCTCTTCAGTGAGAGAAATGGCTGGGGATTTTATGACCTGGGCAGAGCCTGGCCCTGAGTAGGCACACGTAGGTGGAATGCCAGACCCATGTTAAATGTTTCCATCCATCTATTCATTTAGTAAGTATGTACTGAGCACCTATTACGCACCAAGCCTGTTTTAGCTTCTGAAGAAATAGCTGTGTATAAAACAAAGGTTCCTACCTCAGTGAAACCAACAGTGGGAAAACAGTGGAAAAAAGAACATTTAGGATGTCAGATGTTGATAAAAAGTGTCAAGCAACAAACACAGAAAGGAAAGGGAGTGTGAATATGTGTGTGCATGTGCATGTGTATGTACATATGTTAGGGATGGAGGGTTGACCCTCCTTTAAACAGGGAGGTCAGGGGAAGCTTCACTAAGAGAGTGAAATTCAAGCAGAGAGCTGAGGTGAGGAAAAATCTATGAAGAGACTGGGAAAAGATCATTCCAGGCAGAGAGCACAGCACATGCAAAGGCCCTGAGGCAGGACCATGCCTGGTGTATAGGAGGCCTGTGTGGTTGGATTGGAGTGAGTGAGGGAGAGAGGGAGGAGGTGAGGAGGCAGGTTGTGCAGTGCCTGGTGGGCCTCAGGGAGGACTTCATGGAAGCCTTGGAGGGCTGTGGGCAGAGGAGGGATGGTACCATGAAGACTGGCACAGGGTAGGTGCTCAGTAAATATCTGTTGAATTTACATTGCCCTGGGGATATATACAGGGGAACTGACTAAAGCAGCAGTTCTCAACCTGTGGGTCATGACATTAGGAAGCTTGTATTAAAGGGCTGCAGCATTAGGAAGGTTGAGAACCACTGGACTAAAGGTTGAATCCAGTCTTCCCCATGCCTCACAGCTCAGTTCCTGTGATGGTCCTTATGTGATTGTCAAGGCTTGGGTGACCCTGCCTATACCTACTTCCTGGGGATACTCACTTGGAATGGCCTGGTGGCGACTGAGCTCCAAGCCAGGCAGCCTCATGGTGGCCTGGCAATAGAGGTTAGGCAGGATGGGGGTTCCCAGTGGGGGCAGCAGCCAGCGCTGTGTCACATGGAACAGCAGGTCTTCATCCTCTTGGGGCTCCTCCTCTATCTCAGGGGAGCCCAGGGCCTGGACCCCTTCCAGTTCCCGGTCCCCCAGGATCAGGGAGAAGGAGAGGGCATCAGAGCCCACAGGTGTGACCTTGTGGGCCGTACAAGCCACCTCCTGATCCACTCCAGGTACCAGGGTTGCTGGGGAGACGGTCAGCTGATCTGGGAAGGCTATGGATTGAGTGACCACTGTCAGAGTTGAGGGTTGAGCCCACAGTCAGGGCTGGCCAGGATAGAGCTGAGCCAAGGACTAGTGAGGGCTGCCAGTGAACAGGAAGAGGGAACATCTTGTGCAGAACCAGTGATCAGCAACCTCTTGGCCAAAATGTGAGGAGCAGGGGAGGGGTCCTTGTAGTGTGGCAGGGACTGGTGGGGATGGAGCTGGGACTCAGGGTTGGAGCAGGGGTGGGGACAGAAGTCTGGACAGCTCCCAGGAAGAGGAGGCATAGGGAAGGGGCCTTAGGTTGAGGTAAGGCAGCTAGGAGAGAGGTGCCTCACCATACACCATGAGCTTCACAGTCCTTTGGAAGGTGAGATCCCCGCAGGAGCCCACGCAAACACGGGTGCCCGCCGCAGACAGCGAGGCATTGTGCACGGTGAGCACGCTGTGGCCGGCGCCTGATTGCACCGCACCCAAGCTGGTGTCTAGACCGCGCCATTGTACTGCAGCGGCCCCGCGGCCAGCGCAAGTCAGGCGACAGGTGAACTGACGAGACGCGCCCAGGGCCACGGGCACTACTGGTTCTGGAGGTTCCACCTGTAGGGGCTGGCCTGAGGCCGAGGTGGCTCTCACTCCTTAAGCCCGCCTTGCCCTGTCGCGGCCCTCATCCCCAACCCCTGCACAGAGCCCCGCGCCAACTCGCAGATCTATGCCCCCACCCCCACCTGGACTTACTGTTCTCCGCCCCACCCTTGCCCTGAGCCCCGCTCGGACTCACGGACCGGTCCCAGCCTCTGTCGCAGCTCCTCCCACCTCCGGGGGCCTGGAGCCCATTTCACTGGGGGCCAGAGGGCGGCACAGAGTCCCCAAGCCTCTCAGCCTGTGCCTCTTTTTTTTTTTTTTTTGAGACAGGAGCCTCAAGCTGTCCCCCTGGGTAGAGTGTCTTGGCATTACAGCTCACAGCAACCTCCAACTCCTGGGCTCAAGCGAGTCTCTTGCCTCCGCCTCCCAAGTAGCTGGGACCACAGGCGCCCGCCACAACGCCTGGCTATTTTTTGGTTGCAGCCGTCATTGTTGTTTTGGCGGGTCCGGGCTGGGGATTCGAACCTGCCACCTTAGGTGTACGTGGCTGGCGCCTTAGCCGGTTGAGCTATAGGCACCGAGCCAGCCTGTACCTCTTTTGATCCCCCTTTGTCGTCCTAGGTAGAGTGCCCCGGCGTCACAGCTCACAGCAACCTCCAGCTCTTGGGCTTAGGCGATTCTCTTGCCTCAGCCTCCCTAGTAGCTGGGACTACAGGCGCCCTCCACAACGCCCCATTTTGTTGTTGTTGTTGCAGTTTGGCTGGGGCCGGTTGCAACCCACCACCTTCAGTATATGGGGCGGGCGCCCTACTCCCTGAGCCACAGGCGCCTCCGCAGTTTCTCTCTTCTAAAGTCTGCCGCTGTGGGAGCTCCCTACTTCCGACCTCCCCCGACAGCCTGCCCCACTCACCTCGGCCTGGCCGCAGGAGGCCCAGGCTCAGGGCCAGGAGAATCACTAGGCCCCGCTCCATGCTGTCCTTCTGCGGCACCAGGGCCAGCGGCTTAAATATTGGCGCCCACTCCTTCCCACCATCCGCTCAGCTTCTCCACCCCCTCCTCTAGTTTCTCCCCAGGGGATTCCCAGGGGCCTTTCCCAGCCTGACCCCCAACCCTGTAGGCAGCAGAGAGGCAAGGCCTGGGGGCCAATGATGAGGTGGGACCCGGGGCTGAGGTTAGGATAGGGCTGCTAGCAGGTCTGGACTTGTTCCAGGCCTCATTTTGAGATCGGAAGGGGAAGGGGGAGGCCACAGGGGTGAGGGTCGAGGTCCAGGGAAAGGAAAGCGACGGGCCATCTGGCTGGCTGCCCCATCAGCAGAGCCTTCACTTTCCAGGACAGCCATGTCCTGCTTTGGAGCTGCAGGGCTGAGTGTCCTGTGAGGTGGGGTCTCCTGGCCCACATGGAGCTGTGAGGCCCCCCAGGGCCTGGGACAAGACATCTATCTCTGCACCTGTCTCCTCACCTCATCACACCTTGCAACCCTGGCTGGAGCCTGGAGCCCCAGGCTGGGAGGCTAACTCATTTCTAGTCTGACACAGAAACATGGGTCTGGGGTCTGCAAGAGAAGTCTGGAAGGGGCCCTGGCTGGACCCAAATCAGCTGCCATTAGAGAGTCCTGGAAACCTCACCTTCTAAACACTCCTGAATCCACCCACACTCTTCCTAGCTCTTACATAGTGGTCCCTGTTTCCCCACCACTAGGCACCCAGAGGGACCTTGGAAACACCCCTCTGAGCACACTTACACCCTAAAGGCTGCCTGGGGTGCAAAGGAGAAAACTCCCGGTTCTGAGCGGTGCCTGTGGCTCAGTGGGTAGGGCGCCGGCCCCATATACCGAGGGTGGAGGGTTTTCAGTGCCTGTGGCTCGGTGGGTAGGGTGCCGGCCCCGTATACTGAGGGTGGAGGGTTTTCAAACCCAGCCCCAGCCAAACTGCAACAAAAAAAATAGCCGGGCATTGTGGTGGGTGCCTGTAGTTCCAGCTACTCGGGAGGCTGAGGAAAGGGAATCGCTGAAGCCCAGGAGTTGGAGGTTGCTGTGAGCTATGTGATGCCACAGCACTCTACTGAGGGTGATAAAGTGAGACTCTGTCTCTACAAAACAACAACAACAACAACAAAACAAAAACAAAAAGAAAATCTAGGTTCCTATCACTGGAGATTGTGCAGGAGAGCCCTGCACAATCTGTTCCCTTCCTAGGACCCCAGGGCCTTTGCACTGACTGTTCCCTCTCCCTGCTCAATGTCTGCCCAAATGTTCTTTCAGGCCACTTCACAGCTTCCCCTCCTTTACTAGTTTCTCCAAGTGCATTTGAGGCCTTCAGGTCACTGTGGGGGGACCTTATCTGCTGTGGCCCCTGCCCTGACCCCAGACCCTCTTCACAGTAGGGACCCAGGAAGAAAAGAATAGAGCAGTTCTTGGCTCAGCGCCTATAGCTCAAGTGACTGGGGCACCAGCCATGTACACCGGAGCTGATGGGTTCAAATCCAGCTTGGGCCTGCCAAACAATGACAACTACAACCAAAAAAATAGCTGGGCATGTGGTGGGTGCCTGTAGTCTCAGCTACTTGGGAGGCTGAGGCAAGAGAATTGCTTAAGCCCAAGAGTTGGAGGTTGCTGTGAGCTGTGATGCCATGGTACTCTACCCAGGGGGACAGCTTGAGACTCTGTCTCCAAAAAAAAAAAAAAAAAAGGAATAGGGCAGTTCTTTTCTGGCCTCTGCTGACCTCAGGGTGTGCCTGTTTTTGCCTCAGTTTCCTGAGCTGTGGAATAAGATGGGGCAACCAGGCGATAGCATTTCTAGGCATTGCCAGCCTGTGTCTTCTCAGCCCCTTTTCTGTCAGAGACAGAAACAGATCCAGAGGAGGGGCTAGAACCACAGGAGAGAAACTGAGGCCCAGAAAGGCTCAGAGCAAAAGGGGGAAACTGAGGCTGTGATGAGGTAGGGGCGAGGTGCATAAACTTCTGGCAGTGTCTCCCTTGGTCCTATATTCCCTCCCACCCGGTGCCGGGAAGGCCTCTCAGGAAGGCAGACTCTAAGGTGTGGCCCTCCCCAGGCCGGAGGTGCAGGCCTTTCCTGGGAAGCTGGGCTCTTAACCTGGGTGGGGGCCAGTAAGCCTGGTGAATGGGCCACTTCCCAGCCTCTGACCCTGCTTCCTCTTGACCTCACAGCCTGCACAGACAGGTGAGGAGTGGTCACTGGGCGCCAGGCAGGCTGAAGGCTCTTGTTGGGCTGTGTCCCCATCTCTCCCAGGCTCTGTCCCCACCCTCTAGGAGATACATGGCGTCATCTGAACACTCTATATAGGTGACTGGGAGTCTGCACATTCAGAGACGTGGAGTTTTGGGAGGCATGGCAAATGGGGGTGTTAGGGCACCACATTGAGGGAAGGACAGGTGGGCAGAACACATGAAAGAGGTTCTGGGCAGAATGGCAACAGATGCAAAGGGCCAGGGGTGGGGAATGGGAGGCAGAGACAAAGACAGAAAGAAATGGAGATAGACAGGGACAGAGAGAGACAGAGACAGAGGGACAGAGGTGGTAGAGAAGCCTGAGGGTCTGGGAAGACCTCAGAAGAGCATTTTGGTGCCTGTGGCTCAAGTGGTTAAGGTGCCAGCCACATACACCTAAGGTGGCGGGTTCGAATCCAGCCTGGGCCCGCCAAACAACAATGACGACTGCAACCAAAAATAGCTGGGCGTTGTGGCGGCGCCTGTGGTCCCCGCTCCTTGGGAGGCTGAGGCAGGAGACTCACTTGAGCCTAGGAGTTGGAGGTTTGCTGTGAGCTGTGATGCCATAGCACTCTACCCAGGGGGACAGCTTGAGGCTCTGTCTCAAAAATAAATAAATAAATAAATAAATAAAAGAAGGGCATCTGAGTTCTTGTTACACAGCAAGGCTAAACACCGGCAGGGACTGCACTTCATCTTCCCCCAGCACCAGGGATATCACTTTTGTCCTTCACAGAATGAGCCTTGAGCCCAGCTTCCTACATCACCCCCTCCCCAGGGCATCAGTCCCTTCCCGGCACTGTCCTGCCCCAGAGGAAGTCCTCAACAGGAAGCCTTCTTCCCTTGGAGGGTCCCAGCCTTCCCCCAGCCCGACCCCACATCCTGGTCTCCCCATTATAGTAGAGGAATGTTCCAGATCATTGTGCTGCTCTAAGAGGGAAAGGAGAAGTGGGAGCTGCCCAGGGCCCCTGGCACATCCCTCACTTTCACCCACTGGTCAGCTTTCCGTTCTCATGGCTTTCTTTGGAGTGGGCCAGGAGCCCTGTGAGGCAGTGTCTGGTTGTCAAGGCCTGTTTGGGCAGCCTGACAAAGCTAGATTAAGAACCCCATACCTGGGATGTCCATTAGCACCTTCCCAGTGGGTCCCAAGGAGGGTGGAGGAGGAATAAGATTAAGATGAAGGCTGCAAGAAGTGGTCTTTTAATAAATGTGTGTGTGCCCCTAGGTGCAGTGGCTCAGGCCTGTAATCCTAGCATTCTGGGAGGCCAAGGCAGGTAGATTGCCTGAGCTCAGGAGTTCAAGACCAGCCTGAGCAAGAGCAAGGCCCCATCTCTAAAAAAACTAGCCAGGCATTGTGGCAGGCGCCTGTAGTCCCAGCTACTTGGAAGACTGAGGCAAGAGGATCTCTTGAGCTCAAGAGTTTGAGGTTGCTGTGAGCTATGATGCTATGGCAAGGTATTACTGAGGGTGACAAAGTGAGACTGTTAACAAAAAAAATTAGTGGCTCGGCACCTGTGGCTCAAGTGGCTAAGGCGCCAGCCATGTACACCCAAGGTGGCGGGTTTGAATCCAGCCCAGGCCCGCCAAACAACAATGACAGCTGCAACCAAAAAATAGCCGGGCGTGTGGTGGGCGCCTGTGGTCCCAGCTACTTGGGAGGCAGAGGCAGAAGACTTGCTTGAGCTCAGGAGTTGGAGGTTGCTATGAGCTGAGATGCCACGGCACTCTACCCAGGGGGACAGCTTGAGGCTTCTATCTCAAAAAAAAAAAAATTAGTGTGTGTGGGGCCACCATCTAGAACACCTGCAGCACCCCCATCCCTTTCACAGAATGTCCTAAAGCAGGAGGAGCCAGGGATTACAGGGTGCCACCAGCCCAGAACACTACCCTTCCAGTCATTGGCTCTTCCTGTCTCTGCTGGTCCCTGAAATCACAGGTGGGTAAGGTAGGGGCCATGGGGAGAGGGGTGACCCCAATGGGGAGGAGCCAGGGCCCAAAGTCAGTCACATGGAATGTCCTATGAAAATGGGGCAGGCTTATATATTTATTTCTCCAAGAAGCTGAATGTATTAATAGTTTAGAAAAATGAGGGGTGGCCATGTGGTCTTCTTGGAGCCAGCAAAGCCATGGCCTGGACTTGGCTAGGTTGAAGGAGAAGACGGTGAGGCAGAAGAGGCTGTCTAGATGGGTGATCTGTTCTGTCCCTGTCCACCAGGGACTCCAAATGGCCTGAAATCAAAGACATTAGCAGTATCAAGGGCAGGTTTGGAGGGCTGATCTCTGGGTTTCAAATGGCCTCCCAGAGGCTAAGATGGAAGCCAGCTAGGAGGGCACAGGGTTCAGGCAGGAGCCTCCTGAAGGAGACCTTGGTCTCAGCAGGATCTTTGGGCAGGCTGGCTCAGCTGTGCACACCCACTGGGCCTGGGATGGGGCTGGTCAGGCTGTGGCTCCTCAGGGTAAACCACTTCTTTGGAGACAGCATGGGGGCTGAGGGCAGAGGGCTCAGGCCTAGCAGCCTGGGGAAAATGGATATCCTGGTCCCAGCAGCATTCACTGGGCAGGCTGGTCTTGGGGTGGCCCCACATGAACTGATTGAGAGAGGTTGTGGGGCTTCAGTCTGGGGTCTACAGAGCAGGAGGCAGTCTCATCCCATTGTGGGGAGCAGGCAGGCATGTTGTGGTGACAGCAGATTTTGGGGTGCCAGCTTCTCCCAGGGGAGAGAAGGTTGGACAGGGAGGCCTCAG